GGGGGGGGGCCACTTGAAGTAAAATTGGCAATTCCTTTCAGATCAATGTTTTTAAGCACAATGCCCCTCCCCTCATCCTTTTAATTTCGTCCTAAATTGTGTCAATGAGTTAATTTTCTACTTAATACCATTTTTTTCTGTTTTTTAGTTTAAAACGGGAGACTGGTTTAACTATATGCAGTAGGTAGATCATCATTTGAAATGAATCTTTATTAACCTGTTAAAATTTTAGGGTCCACTCTTAGGAATTTGCACTTGTTTTTGTGCATCTGATTTATGGACGATAAATGTTGTAACATTGTATACTAAACCTTCATTTTTGCAACGTTGCATTGCAATCTTATTATTCATTATTTGGCTTTCTTAGATACTAAAAGTAGATTTTCAAATATTTTACTTTTAACTTGTTGTTGACAAGGTTTAATAACAAACTTTCTTTTTCCTTAAAGGGAGTGTAAGCATAATTTCAAGTGCCCCTCCATGCAAAGATGGCAACGTCCAATTCACAACGGTTCCCTTAAAGTCTAAGGGTACCGTTGTGAATCGGACATTGCCATCTTTGCATGGAGGGGGCACTTGAAATTATGCTTTAATTTTAACTTTTTCTGCAAGGGTGAATTATATGCCCTTTTTTGCATTGTGAGTCAATTCTTTTTATTTTTATATATTTTCACTTTTTCTCCTTCCCATCCTTATTATCCGTCCTTTTCAGCTTTTTCCTATTCATTTTTGACATAATTTATTTTTTATTGGATCGTGCTTTCTTCTTCATGAACATCTCATTTATTCATGTTTTATAGATAAAGTAACCAGATTGTTTTCCAAAGGCTCTAGCTGTCCTAATTCTTATTATAGAATTTAATGAATTTGTGTGTCAGAAACTGGGGTTTGATGGTAAAATGACCTGATTTTGTTGAATTCCAAATTCTGGGATTTGATTTTAGACAAAATAAGACAGTGAGACAAAAAAATTGAGACCCGTAGAAAATGTGCCCCTGGTTCTGGATCTAAAATAGTTTTTAACGAGTGTGTAATGCACACAGAATTTACAATGAACAAAACAGTAGGGGGGTACATTTTTTTAAGTTATCCTCTCTTCTGAAAATAATTTTTCAAAGGTTTTTTAACGCTGAATTTTGGAGAAAAGAGAGTATTTCATACCTTCATAAGTATTTAAAGGGGGGGATATGTTTCTACAAAATGTACACCCCTGTATAGTGTGGAACAGTTTTCTGACAGTATATAAAGAATATTGATTTATTTCTAGGAAACAAGTGGACAGAATGTTATATTGGAAATGAATTATGTAGATTCAGGAAAACTTTCTTTTTAACAACTTACAATGGACCCATGAACAATTAGCATTAAAGGAATTGTAAGCGTAATTTCAAATGACCTCCATGAAAAAACGGCAATGCACGATACCCTTCTTTGTCTGATTAATTTTGAATTATTTATCATTTTGAAAACTGATTGTTTTCATTTATGCAGTATCTTTAAAACAGTGTCTTATGTATTTCTACTGCAGATAACCCTGTTGGAATCATCAGAATTGAACACTTAAAAGCCTAAAAAACGACAATCTCTTCCACATTATTGATCAGAGAAGGAGGAGGGGTCACTTAAAATTATACTTACAGTTAATTTATTTAAAAGTGTAAAAATAAGGATTAAAGTAACTGATTACTCTCCTAATACTATGCGCTCTGAAGGCACAGATTTAAGATACAAATTAAGCATTCTTAGACATTTATTAAAATAAACTGCGAAATGAAAATAGTCATAGTTTGAAATATCAAATATACATGTGTATATTATAAATTGAGTTCGAGGCCAATAATCAGTTGTTTTACATAGTTGATTAGATGAAAAAATTCTACAATATTTCAAATATATGTCTATATATTTATTTTTATAGAGTCTCTTTTCGCTATTTTTCTGGGGGAAAATAGTTGTAAAAAAGTTTGTACATTTAAGTTAAAGATTTTAACTACATATCTGAACTCCTGGAAAACTATGTACAAACATTTTTGAATTGATTTTGATAGTTAGATACAACAGAGCAAATATTTAACCCTTGAATTCTGTATGTTGAAATTTCTTTTCAAAGAAATTCTAACAGGAAATCAGATTTTATACTTTCTCGAGTTTCGACTAAATTAAAAATTTCTTTCATTTCATTTAGTAGAACCCAGATGGAAAAAGCAATTTTTTTTAAATCGTTGTTTAAAATTATGAGGTTTTTTTATTTTCAAAATATTAATTTTTTTTTGTAAGAATAGATTGTCAAAATCTAATCCTTTGAAATTTAAAAACAATTGTAGTAGGGATTTTATGGAAAACAACAATAAAAACTAAAAACAATAAATAGTAAATAAATATGATCTTTTTAAAAGAAATGTTTATTATCAGGAGACCCCGCTGCATTAGTAAAACACAAGGAAAACAATGATAATGATAGAAGATAAAAAAGTTTGTTGTTAATGTTGGTTCAAACCACATTAAAATTGATTGCGAAAGTATTTTTTCACAGTTTTTAGAAAATATTTTTCGATATTTTGTTGATCCTACTCAGTTCTTGAGATTTGTTTTTGTTTTGAACATGAAGATTATAAACGAAGGCTTATATTTTGTGATATCTAAATATCCAAGGCCACAATGTCAGCAACTTGTTTTTATGTCAGTTTTTTGTGCGGTCTTAAAGGGACTGTAAAGGGAAAATGAAAGGAGGTATAGGCTGAAACCTAAGAATCTCAGGAGTTGAACGATACCCATAAGACATCTATCTGATGTTCCTGTCTCGAGATCCTGACATAAAGCTGTGTCAAAATTAAACCAAAACGTATATATGTAAGATATACGTCAGTATCAAGTAACCAGAACTCCCTCCAATGGCAGTGCAGTTTACTGGTCACGTGATACAGACGGAGACAAGTGACAATAATAATGCAATGCCGTTAGTTGGAGTGCTGGTGACATGTTCCGGATGCATAAATGATATTACCAATATTATCTATCAAAAATGAAAAATTATTAAATTCAAATAATAATAAGAGCAAACTTAAGTTTTTAAGGCTCCTCTGGGATATCGTAGTTTTTAGATTGGTTGCGTATTCGTTGAATATGTTCTGTTAAATACTACGAATCTTTTACACAGTTTTATATCAATTTCTCGAGACAGAAATATCTGATAGAACTCTTATATGTCTCAATCAACTCCCGAGATTCTCAGGCTTTAGCCTATACCCCCTTTCATTTTTCCTTTAAAGGAACTGCGGGCGTAATTCAACTTGGTTATAAGATTCTGAATCAGAAATTCAACTTGGTTTTAAGATTGTGAATCAGAGATTCAACTTGGTTATAAGATTGTGAATCAGAGATTCAACTTGGTTATAAGATTGTGAATCAGAGATTCAACTTGGTTATAAGATTGTGAATCAGATATTCAACTTGGTTATATGATTGTGAATCAGAAATTCAACTTGGTTTTAAGATTGTGAATCAGAGATTCAACTTGGTTATAAGATTGTGAATCAGAGATTCAACTTGGTTATAAGATTGTGAATCAGAAATTCAACTTAGTTTTAAGATTGTGAATCAGAAATTCAACTTGGTAATAAGATTGTGAATCAGAGATTCAACTTGGTTATATGATTGTGAATCAGAAATGCAACTTTACGAATGGAGGGCTATTACAAAAAATTACAATTATTGATCCTTTGGAAATAATTTTTATTTTTTATTTTAATTCCCTGAAATTGTTGTTTAAAGGTGGTTGACGGGAAATTGCTTGTATCTCTACACTGCAAGGAACAGAGACATTATATATTTAAAGTTTTATAGTTCTCAAACTTGTTGATTTATCTTTAAAATTCAAGCATTTAATGCGACTTCTGCCCATTTATTTGCATTTATAAGAAGCGCCGAAAAATTGGAATTGATGAATATTTGAACTACTTTTCAAGTTTATTTAAGAGTGCTTTATTGAACTAGTTCAGCTGGCCAGACCTAGTTACTTTTTGCTATTCATTAAATCCTACTTCAGTGCATATGTTCAATTTAAGAAAAGAGCAAATTTATTAAAGTAGTTTTCTTAATTTTGCAACCCGAAAGTGTAAACTTTTAATATTTTAGATTGAAACTACTTGAACTAACATATTTTAAAGTTTCGAATTACAAAGGTCTACGTGTTTTAAGATTAGAATTTGTGGCGAATGCTTAGTTGCTTTGAGTTGATGAATCATTAATGTTTCTGTCGAAATTTAAGGATATTGTTTGCAACTCCATCTATGCTAAGAAATAAGAACTAATCTTGCAAGTTATCAAGTTAACCTAGACTGTAGAATAGGAGACCAATATATACATTACAAATCATTAATGAGATGGGGGAGAGTAAGGTTTATTACATCATTATCTGAAATATCTCAATTTTTCGCATGTTATTTAATTTTGTTAAATATCAGCCATAGTATTGTTTTTATTAAAACCAGTTTTTCCTTGTTTTGATACGTCACAAAATAACCCTGGTTGGTAAACATTATTTCTAATTATTAATTAATGTTTATCAGATCTGTACAAGTTTCTTTGCCCTGTGATCTTAGTTATCTCCCCCCCCCTCCTATTTATTTGCATTAGTAGGCTGTTTTAGTCAAGTCAAGTTATGTTAATAATTAATGTATTTTAAAGTGGAATAATAAATTTGCTAAATAGGTTTTAAAAATGTATTATTTTAGGAAATTTTAGTCTTGCATTTCTAGATACTTCCTAGACACTTCCATCCAAATAAATGTTTTATAAAATCATTTTTAAAGAAGAATTTTGATCGTTAGAATTTGAACAGAACACAGTGTATAGGGATACGGGGTTACCCACAAAGGAAATGACTTCGAAGACGAATATACTGAATTTATTAATACCTATTTTCTACATTCAAGGTTTCCTTCTTTATTATTCTTTCTTATTTCTCATATAATTCATTTAACAGACCCAGAGGCGCAACTAACTTTTGTTTTTGAAAAATTTTCGAAAAAGGGGGGGAACCCACCTCCCCCCCCCCCTAGAAAAAGTCCTAGTTGCGCCTCTGCTTAGACCATGTTCAGGGTAATAAACCAAATATAACCCTTAAATCTAAGGAATCTTAGGTTAACACTATATCTTAAACATATTAGTGGAAAAAGCTCCGTCTTAGAATAGAATATTGAGATAATTATCTCAATTTTTGTTGTAAACAATAACAAAGATTGTAAACAAATCATTAACAAAGATTGTAAACAAAGTTTGAGTTGAAACTTTTGTGTGGATATTGATAACCTGGAACGCTTGATCTTGATACCCAATTTGGGCACTTAAAATTTTAGGATTAATACTTTATCTCTTCATTTTGTTATCCCATCAGGGAATGACCAACACGGGATATTCAAGAGATCTTTTTAATAAAACAAGACATTCGTATTTATGTTTCCTATAGCAGGTGTGGCGTTATTTCTGGGTAAACGTTAAATAATGGTAGAAGAATCGACGCAGCAAATTTTCCGCGCATATTTTTGCAGTTTACGGCAATGCGCACAACAGAAATCTGGTATTTTATCTGAAATTTCAAAATTAGAAATTATATTTATATACTTAAGATATACACTATATGCTGATATATAATGAGAGAGAAGTAATTAACTATACGTTAAACTCTCATCAGTTGCAAGTATCAGAAACAATTAACTTAGGTAAACTAAGCTGTAATATCGATCCCTAATGTTAACGCAATTTATTTTTACTGTCTGTCGCTCCGCAAAACTTGATTGATTCTCAAATATGAGAAATACTTTTACCTAATTTACTGTTTACATTCACAGAATTGTGTGCGAATGCCGCGGAAAATTTGCTACCCCATCACTCAAGCAACCCAAGGACTAATATCTCAAAATTTTCACTGAGATGAACCAACTGAAGTTGTAAGTTTAAAGATCAAAAGCATGATCCATAATCAATACACACAATAAAGCTCAAAGTTTCATAAAAAATGTATTTCAACAATAATGAACAGGCACTTGTTCCGTTTAAAATTTACTCTCCTTAGGGTTGAGTTCAAACTCAAACTCATCTTCTTCCATGAACCTGTCCTCAGCTTCAATTCTCTCATCATAAGTCAGAACTCTAGGTACAGCTAAAACCCTAGATCTAGAACTAGACCTCTCTCTCCGACGTGTAGTGAGCATAGGACAGGAATCAACGGAAGCCTCAACATCATCCACCTGTCCAACATCATCAATCTCATCTCCAACCTCATCAATCACCTGCATACTATCCTTGGCAATAAGATCATCAATAAAACCAGGTTTATAACTCTTCTTCTCAACTTTCTTAATGTCACCAGAACCAGGAACTTGAACCCTCCCAGATCCAATCGGAGGAAACTTGATCTTCAGCTCATCTCCTCTCTTTGACCTGCTCCGACTCCGGAATCCTCCAACCTTCTTCTTGGACAGATCCCTACTCCTTCCAGCTCCTGTAGTCTCATCTGTCTGAACAGACTTAGACATCATCTCTAACACGCCCACAGAGCTAGCAACACTATCCTCAGCCCTAACTGCACTATTGACCTCAGACGAATCTATGACAATCTGCACAGGGACAAGGACAGATTCCTCTTTAGCAAGTTTCACCTTCTTCTCCTTAGGTTGGCCAGCTCCTTTCCCACTAGAAACTGAACCAGACCGTTTCTGAGAGAACTTTCTTTTCCAGCTAGGTAAAGGAGTCAATCCACTCTTCCACCTAGATCTCTCCTTAAACTTCCAATCACTCTTTACCTCTTCCAACCATAGAACTCTAGATCTCCGGATCACAACCTCTATCTCACAGCGTTCCAGAGCAGAACGTTCTTGATCCAACATCCTATCAATACACTCATACAGCTGTTTCTCCACCAACATCACTCTCACAGGAGCTTGACCGAATATCCTGAGATATAAGAGACGGAGACAATCATAGATAGATCTATAGAAAATACAAAAACCCTTATCCCTGGCCATTCTGTTGAAGAAAAACTGCAATTTCTCCGGGAACAATCTAGCCCACTCTAATATAGCCCAGCGTTGAGGTCTTCCTAGCTCCGAGCACAATCTCCCGATCTCTGAGCTCCGAGTAGTACTAGGATCAAATCTCACCACAGCAACCGGCATCTCTCTGGGCCTTCCCATCCCAGAACCAGGCCGAGCAGGCTGTCTCCAGTCAGGAGAACCAAGCTGCTCCGGACTAAGACCGAACCTGGCATACATCAAATCATCCTCTGCTGGTAACCTGAGCACTCTGCCATCCATCCACTGCAGTCTTGCCCTGGCCAAGATCCTGATTTGAACTAGGAACCACTCCCTGCACTGGATTAGAAACCTGCATCCACCCTGAGTTATACTAGGCCAGGAACCCAATAATCTGGTCCAGATCATAATATAAGGCGGAGGTCCAGAAGCCAGTTTATCTCTAGAATCTCTATGACGTAGGGATTTCAACAGATCAATCCTGGTAACAGCTCTCTCCTCAGAATCTGCATGAAATTCTGTCCCCTCCAAGCTCAGAAACAACCACTCCAAGAACCAGTTGACCGCTCCCTCTTGATCACACTCCAAGTATCTACATACTATGTCAGGATCAGGAAATAAATCCCTCAGCAACACTCCTGCTAGAACATTATAAACTATAAACCCAAACTTCAGATCTCCTAATCCATAAACCTGTAAGGATGCAGGTATCTCCGCCCAACGTAGGCCCCATAGATCATCACCAGTGGATACAGTTTTATTGAGCAATGTTCCCAGTATCTGAACTCCCAGTGCAGTCATGTTCTTTGCATGGAACTTGTAACCAGCAACAACTGCCATAGAGGCCAGATCAATGAACCCGTTAGCAAGCTCCACATGGACTCCAGAGATGGTAGAATAAAACTCCTCAATCTCCCGAACGTCTCTCCGGACTCCAAGTCCTGCAGACACGGGAAGATCTCGGAGCAAATTCAACAATCCAGGCTGAACAGACATCCTTTCTAGCAAGTATTCATCCTTCTCATTTCGATGCAGGTCCAATGATATGATCAGAGCCCAAGAAATTCCATTACCGATCATCAATTTACCAGGGATATTCTTGTGTACATCCTTCGCCAAACCAGATCTCCTATAGGTCTCAGGCTTAGAGTTTAGAACCGAATTATTAGTTGTGATCTCAAGATCTCCAGCCATCCTCAAGATATCATAATGAGTGCAGAATACATCCTCGACATCCATGGATATGATTTGAGTTCCAAACCTCTCTTGATCCTTGCCATATTGATCTCTCAACCAGTGATGGGTATCCTTGATCTCCTCTTCAGAAGACACTCCACAGATTAATTCCCTCACCTCAACCTGATCCAGCATATCCCAAGATAAACCCCGATTACTCTGATAAGATTCCAAATCTTCTAGTTTAGGATATTTCCAACCAGCTCCAGCTCTCACATTCTCCGTGAGATAATCCAAGATAGGAGCTCCCATAGGTAGATAATCATCCTTCCGCCCTATTCCAGGTACATCTAGGTTCACCTTGTCTATCCCATCCAAGTATTTATCCATACACATCTTGTCCTTTTTTCTTGCAATCCGATGGCGATAACCAACTACTTCTGCAACCATCTCAACCTTCCAAAATACTCTCTTCTCTCCCCAGGTTTTCTCTCCTGGTTGAGGGATCAGTAGAGATAATAAATCATCATATTCTCTCCTACGGGACTCCTCAATCCTTCGTCCAATCTCCTCCCAAAACTCAGCAGCTCCAATCAAGCTAAATAAAAAAATAAGATTATATACACTATCATACAATACAATGGTTGCAACAACGATCCCTGTCAAAAAATCTAGCAAATTTGTGTTCAATATTTTCCTACTCAGTTCAGCAATGTATATAAGATTCCAAATATCCCAGTAATCAATTCGAGCAATCAGTATCAGTTCAATAGTAACCCTGGAGAAGTTAATACTCCGGATATTAAACCTTCCCAGGATCATTACATTTTTTGAAGTGATCATTAGTATTGATCATCAGTTCTCCCACAGAGTAAACTATACTGATATCTCTGATGCTCCGCTCAACAAGTGTACTGGACCTGGAATCCCCAATGTGATATTCAACAGTAACAGTTCTCTTTCCAACCTTGGAAATTTTTCCAAGTCTCCAAACTGTAGATTCTTTACTATAACCCCCATCATTGAACACAAATAATACAATATCATTTATGACAGGAAATCTGCTTGATTTCAACCATTTTTTAGGACGCAAATCTAATAAGTGTATATTATCAATAAACCCTTGAAACCAAGAATTATAAATATGACGATTTCTTTCAAGTATCCGGGTATAATTAGAGCTCATCTCAAGGAAAACCCCCGAACCCTCTAAAGATCGGAAATTATTCCTACCCATCACCAACTGGTTAGGTGTAATAATTTCGTATCCTAATTTAGAAGCATTAGACGTATCTCCCCTAGCAATAGGAAGGTTGTTCATAGTATTGGAGATCTTAGCAAATAAACAATCCCATTGAATAGATGTCATAGGTAAAGAGTTTTGTATTCCTAGTTTCTCCAGGCTTTCTCTAAGAGTCCGGATCCTTCTCTCAACCCTTCCTCTCTCCTCATGAGCTTTAGCGTTAGAGACCACAATCCTGATACCTAAAGAGTCCTGGACCTGAGCCTCTACATCCCGAACTGAGCAACTAGCATGCTTTAAAGCCTTGAGTTGAGTTCCAGAATCTACAAACAGTGTAGCAGGGACTCCATACCTGGAGGCATGTCTCTCAATCCCAGATATTACATCCTGACATTCTAATCCTTCCACAGCTAAAATATTTGTTGCACCAGACAGAATACATACAATAACTAAGGCATACACTTTTATACCCATCCTTGCTCTTTTGTATGCTTGTCCCTTGAAACCGTAAGCTATATCCATCATGCAATGGGTGAAGGGGGGGGGGCTAGGATAGTTCTAGCTTCAGGATGTTGGCTCATTTTTAGTTCTAAAGATCTTTTTTCAATCAGTCTGCATTTAATGCAATCAGGACTATTCATAGCTCTTATATCATTAAACCAGGTCTCCACTTGATTAAATCTATCATTAATTGCAGTACGCAGTGTACATATAGCTACATCTAGTGCTGAATATCTAGTATCCTGTTGATCTATCCTTAATTTAACCTCATTTAAAATCTTATTGAACTCTCCAATACGAAGTTTTATTTCATCCTGTGTCTTGTCGTTCTCTACTATAGACTTACTCAGTACACATAAAGATCTTTCAATTTCCTGTACTTTACTGTCCAGTCTGGCATACTTAGAATTAGTTTCCCCTCTCCAAGTATCAGTACAGGTAGATATAACTTGAAACCTGGGTCTAGGATCATTTTTAAGATTTCCCAATGATGCAAGAATGACAGGTTCACATTCTTTAGCAGGTTCCCCCCTCATTGTAGGGTCGTTGGATCTAACTAAATCAGCATCAATTCTTGAATTCTGATTTAAAGTCATTATCGGTTCAACATTATTAGGAACAGTAGGCGATCGGATAACAGATAAATCTAAATCGGCATGGTCTAGGCGATCATTAGGAGGTGTATTATTAACCCTAGGATTAGGAGTAAAAACATCGTCATTCCTAAAGTTGGAGTTCACTCAACGATAATATATATATAGATATGCAGACAGGTATAAATTTAGAGGTCTTGAGATAATGAGCACAAAGCATCATCTCTGTCGTACGCATGGCATTTTATCCTCTGGATTGTTGCTAATTTATCACTTTGTTTATGCGTGATAACACTAAATGCGTACTATTGTATCAACAATGTATACTGCATATTGTACTTAATGAAACAAATTAATCAATGCAAATAAAACTGAGGTAGGAATTTTACTAGACAAAGTTTAAATGTGCAAGTTGTACTGAATGGCATACGTAAATTAACGCAATTTAAATAAAAATTATGACTATAAAAGTACATCGAGTCTAGGACAAATTACAACTGATCTGATCATAACATAAACAAAACGCGTACTGTATGTTTGTGTTACCTTGAAATTTAATTTTATTGGTCAAACAGGTCCAGATAGCAACACTTGAACTATACAGGATGCAATACGCGTACTGTATGTTTATATAACACAAATGCGTATTTCCTACAGATAGCAGAAAGGGGAGAAAGGCATATAGAAAGTAATCAATTTGCTATAGATGTCTCTTTGTGCACATTTTTTCAGAGGTTCAAAAATTAGTTGTCTGCTACAGGCAATTTAGGAAGGAGGTTTCTACCTGCCTGCATATCTATATATATATTATCGTTGAGTTCACTGCAGTTTCACGATTAGCTCTGAATAATCTCCTAGCATCTTTACGAATGGCATCTAATCTGCTCTTTAGGATTCCAAGATCTCCAATCATACAAAAATCCACCCTTCCCATCAGAGCATTAGATCTAAGCTTATCTATTTCTGTACAAAACAAACTATGCTTATACTCAATAACATCTAATGATTGTACAGAATTAGTAGCTTCGTTTTCCCATGAAATAATCCGATCCTCAATGTTTTCAAAATCCCTCTTAGTACGGATTTCATTTTCAATATTGGAACCCCCCACAGCACGTCTAGTTTGTAGCCGGGTCCCAGCATTTGCATGGTAGGTATCATCAATGAACCCCGAAATATTAGGTTGTGATAAGCATCTATCAGTATTCGGAGTAATCAATGGAACGTTATAATTAACAGGGTTTATGGTACTACTCAGATGATCCCCCTGACTCTCAGATGAAGACCTTCTTCGTCCCACCCCTTTGGCATTTGTTTCCATTGGCATATTCTGCACTTTTCAAGGTTTTGGACTCCCTCATTAAGTGTAGAGATTCAATGTGAAGCTATTGAATGTAAAGCTACTCTACAGAGAGTACTCTACAGTTCATAAAGCAATGGTAAAGCATTTACCTAGTCCTTGGCTTGCGTGAGTTAGTCGAACCCTTCCTCTTTCCAACCATATTTCTGGAATGATGGAAGTTGATCTTGATGGTTGAATCTTAAAAAGAAATATCTAATCAATTCCAGAAAACGTTATTTTTACTTTAAGCTAGTCAATTTTACTTTAGATTTAAAATCCAAGAAACTTTAAACTTATCAATTCTACTACTTTATCGAGAATAAATGTAAATGACTAAAATATAGTAGGCTAAGAATATTATAAAACCATCATTTTTATAAAATCACAAAATGTTTGACCCCGGTTCTGTACATACCTCTACGTTCCTCTCACAAGCAATAGACAACAAAAATATCAAAAATCTCAAGTCTAAAACCGTTATTATTCTGAAAAATAAATACGTTCACTAATCAATTCATTTTTACCACGCGGAAATTTACAGGCGAAAATAACGTATATATATACTAAAAGCATGAACAGAGAAACATGACTGAGAGTACAGAACCGGCCGGGCCTAGTTTTTCACAATATAAACAAAAGACCGGTCTCCCCTATGAAGTACGCTCACAGTATAGGCAGCTTCCAGGGGCATCACAACAAACTCGCGTCAGGGGTGACTGGCGCGAAACAAAGATTGTGAATCAGAGATTCAACTTGGTTATAAGATTGTGAATCAGAGATTCAACTTGGTTATAAGATTGTGAATCAGAGATTCAACTTGGTTAGATTGTGAATCAGAGATTCAACTTGGTTATAAGATTGTGAATAAGAGATTCAACTTGGTTATAAGATTGTGAATCAGAGATTCAACTTGGTTATAAGATTGTGAATAAGAGATTCAACTTGGTTATAAGATTATGAATCAGAAATTAAACTTTTTTTTAAGATTGTGAATCAGAGATTCAACTTGATTATAAGATTGTGAATCAGAAATTCAACTTGGTTATATGATTGTGAATCAGAGATTCAACTTTGTTATATGATTGTGCTTTCAGAAATTCAACTTGGTTATATGATTGTGAATCAGAGATTCAACTTGGTTTTAAGATTGTGAATCAGAGATTCAACTTGGTTATAAGATTGTGAATCAGAGATTCAACTTGGTTTTAAGATTGTGAATCAGAGATTCAACTTGGTAAGATTGTGAATCAGAGATTCAACTTGGTTATAAGATTGTGAATCAGAAATTCAACTTAGTTATATGATTGTGAATCAGAGATTCAACTTAGTTACAAGATTTTGAATCAGAAATTTAACTTTACGAATGAAGGGCTATTTGATCGAAATAACAATTATTGATCCTTTGAAAATAATTTTTGTTTTTTATTTTAATTCCCTGAAATTGTTGTTTAAAGGTGGTTGATGGGAAATTGCTTGTATCACTACACTGCAAGGAACAGAGATATTATATATTTAAAGTTTTATAGCTCTCAAACTTGTTGATCTTTAAGATTCAAGCATTTAATGCGACTTCTGCCCATTTATTTGCATTAAAAAAAAGCGAAAAACCAGAATTGATGAATATTTGAACTACTTTTCAAGTTTATTTAAGAGTGCTCTAGTGAACTAGTTCAGTTAGCCAGACCTAGTTCAACTTCTTTTTGCTATTCATTAAATCCTACTTCAGTGCATATGTTCAATTTAAGAAAAGAGCAAATTTATTAAAGTAGTTTTCTTAATTTTGCAACCCGAAAGTGTAAACTTTTAATATTTTAGATTGAAACTACTTGAACTAACATATTTTAAAGTTTCGAATTACAAAGGTCTACGTGTTTTAAGATTAGAATTTGTGGCGAATGCTTAGTTGCTTTGAGTTGATGAATCATTAATGTTTCTGTCGAAATTTAAGGATATTGTTTGCAACTCCATCTATGCTAAGAAATAAGAACTAATCCTGCAAGTTATCAAGTTAACCTAGACTGTAGAATAGGAGACCAATATATACATTACAAATCATTAATGAGATGGGGGAGAGCAAGGTTTATTACATCATTATCTGAAATATCTCATTTTTTCGCATGTTATTTAATTTTGTTAAATATCAGCCATAGTATTGTTTTTATTAAAACCAGTTTTTCCTTGTTTTGATACCTCACAAAATAACCCTTGTGGGTAAACATTATTTCTAATTATTGATTAATGTTTATCAGATCTGTACAAGTTTCTTTGCCCTGAGGCCAAATTTAAAGAATTTGAGCCGCAGCTTAAATTTGAAACTGGGCTGAAATATGGTTTGTTCCACTTAGAATTGTATTCAATGATTCAAGATTTAAGCCGGCGCTCATTTGAAACTGGTTCTAGGCGGATTTAAGACTGAGCTCAAATTCATTAAATTCGGTCTCTGTACTCTTAATTGCATTACCCAACCCCACCCCCTCCTCCTCCTTCCTATTTATTTGCATAAGTATTAAGTAGGCTGTTTTAGTCAAGTTAAGCTATATTAATAATTAATGTATTTTAAAGTGGAATAATAAATTTGCTAAGTAGGTTTTAAAAATGTATTATTTCAGGAAATTTTAGTCTTGCATTCCTAGATACTTCCTAGATACTTCCATCCAAATAAATTTTTTATAAAATCATTTTTGAAGAAGAATTTTGATCGTTAGAATTTGAACGGAACACTGTGTATAGGGATACGGGGTTACCCACAAAGTAAAGACTTCGAAGACGAATATACTGAATTTATTAATATAAAATAGATCAAATTTAAACCTTAAATTTAAGGAATCTCAGGTCGTCATAACCCTGTATCAAACATATTAGTGGAAAAAGCTTCTTCTTAGAAAAGAATATTGAGATAATTTGTGAACAAAACATTGACAAAGATTGTAAACAAAGTTTGAGTAAACACTTTTTGTGGATATTGATAACCTGGAATTTGGGCACTTAAAAAATTTAGTATTTATTTTTGATCCCTTCATTTTGTTATCCCTTCAGGGCATGACCAACACGGGATATTCAAGAGATCTTTTTAATAAAACAAGACATTCGTATATACGTTTCCTAAAGCCGGCTTCATTTTTCTTAAAATTTTTTTTCCATTGGCAACGCCGGGCCCTTCAGCTAGTATTAAATAAATTCCTAGGTTTTTTTTATAAAATGGAGGACAATGACTGCTCCCCAGACTCAAAACGTAATATTTATGAATTTTGGTAGTTAAGAAAGACTTGTTTACTATCCACTAAACCCCACTATACTTCTTTTGGTCAAAGTGCTAAAAATTACTGTACTAAACACCAAAATCTAGTTCCTGAAAAGTCCAAATACGTCATAGTATAATCTATCCCCCCCCCTTCCTTCAGAAAAATTAAGCTTGTTTTCTAGTAAACTTGGAAAACATTTTTAATTTTAATTAATTTTTTTATTTTATTTTCATTAAATATTTACATGAGTTTGTGCCTCAAAGGAATATGTTTGTTTAACTTTTATCCGAAATACTGATTTATAAAAGTTGAAATTTTAATGATTTGAGTGGATGTTGTTCCTGAATTTTCAAAGCTCTGTGCGGAAAATGAAAAAATGGAACCCCAACAGCAAGAATGTTTAACCCTTCTAAGATGTCTAGCATCAGAAAAGAATAAGCTATTTATTGCCGGGACTCAGGAAGATGCGCTTTTTAATATAATTCGAAATATTTCGAATTAGCATAAAACTCCAATGATTTTTTTAAAATCTTAATAGACAAAATGAAAGGCCCCACACAAAAAATTTGTTTGATCAGTTGGGTTGTTTTGATGTCATTAGTAGATCCAGACTGGCGTGTACTTTTTTATGCGAAATATCAAGCTCAATATTTATAAAGATAAAAGAAGACTAATTCTAAATATTTCCGGTAAAATGGACTGTAAGGGTGATTTGAAATCACCCTAAATGCGAAAATGGCAATGCAACGATAAAGCCCAAAAACCTTAATCTGATTAATAATGTGACAGATACAGGGTGCAGTCCCATGAAACTTGACAGTAGTCAGACGAATTGAAGGTCGTCTTTCATCTTAAATAGCATCTAAGGCATTTATTTGTAAACAAAAATTTAGAATTAAAAATCTAGTTAATAATCACAAATTACCCCCTAACCCTGGCATTTCCAAAATGTGGTTCGCCTTTTTTTGTGCTTTCAGTATTACCTGAGATGTAAAGATTCGTTCAGTTTGACAATTTTTGTTTTATTTAATTTTTGTGAAATCTGAACGAAATTTAAATATCTCTTGTAATGTTGACAGCCCAGTATTACTTGAATATCAGACATTGAATAAATATTTGTAGACCATAAACTTACAACCTTTCTTCGTAAAATGTCTCAAATCAAATCATATCTCCGGAGCCAAACCCAACATTTCTCAGGTAAATAGACGCAACTCCGTGAAAAGTGAAACACTTTTGATATTGTAAATGCTTAAATTCGTGATTATTGCTACAAACAACAAAATCTTTGTAACCAACCGGATATTTATTATTCAGAAGTGAAAACGTTTTATTTTCATCCTTAGACCCCTTATTTTCTGCATTATACCAGCAAATAGAAAGAACCTCTTAGAAACCAAGCATTGCTCACAATTAAATTTGTCAACGATTTATTGTTAAACTGTACTTATTTTTAAGGTTTGAATTAAACATCTTTGTGCATTATCGACTGGATCATTACCCAACCTGATAAATATAGACGCCCTAGGGACAATATTCTTCCTCGGGAAACCAACCTTTGATAAACACAGGAGGCCTCTTTTAACTCAATATTATAATGTAAACCAAATGAAAGGGAAAATTAATTTAAACAAAGTTCAGTGAAACATGAAAGCAAATATATGTACATTAAATTCTTTAGAGCGTTGTAAAACTTTTTCTTCATCAATAAAACTATTCTTTTGAATTAAATTCTACACTGCTAAAAATAAAATATTTTGTTCAATATTGATCAACTAAAACTCATTTCGAGATATAGAACTTTCTGTTATATTTTGAGAACACATTTTAGCTGGACATAACTCAGTTTCTCTGAAATATTTTTAAACAATTTACATAAAATTTTATTAGATACGTTTTTTTAAATTTCGAAATACATTTTTTTCATTCTATTTTTATTAAGTGTCAAAACACAACGTTGAGAACAAAATTACTTTAATATTTCTTAGATATTTATTTCTGCTTTAAATATGATATGATATTTTGACACATTGAGATTTACAAATAGAGAAGAAGAAAAAATAAGATGCCATTGCGTCATTTAACAAAATGTACGCAATTACAAGACATTATTTACATTTCATGTAGATACACTTTATAAAATTACACTTTATATTTACACATCCATTTGAGAAAGCTCTTCGCTCATATATTTATATTTGCTAGCTATAGCCGGCCAAACGGCTAGACCAAATTGGCGAAACCCAGGGCTAACATGGGCTAAAAAATATAAAAATATTTATTTTTGTTTAAAATTCGAATTTTTCTTCAATATGTTTTTATAATTCCACGGGCAACGCCGGGCACTTCAGCTAGTGTCTTAAAAAGATATACTAAAATATCTCAATTTATTTTGAGTTAAATAGGTCGGGTTACGTTTATTTCTGGGCCGAGCGCTGCGGACGAGATGGTCAAGCGTCACGGGGTATATGATTAAGCTTCTGAACGATTTTTACAGAAAGTGGAAATGAAATCAAAATGGAATATCGAAATGCTACTTAACACAAATTTAACTTCAGGAAGTTTGAAAATGTAATTAGAAATTAATTTATAGAAAGTGTGTTATTATGTAAAGTGTAACTATACATGAAATCTAATTAAGGGAAAGAATATGGACAATATTACACTGTACAGTGTCTTTGTACAGTATTACAGTGTACTGTGTACAATGTCTATGTGCAGTGTCTCTGTACAGTATTACAATGTACATATACCACTCGCCGAATGCACAACAAATTTATCACAACAAGATTTGAAAAGTTCAAATTATCACAAAATTGACAACAATAATCACAAGAAAGAGTTGAGAAAAACTAATTTTAACAAACTTTTGAGAAGGTGTGAGAGGGATTCAAATCTTTGAATTGATTAACTGAAACAGAAAGGGGAAGGGGGAGGAGGTCAAATTTACGACAAAATTTTCATGAAATATTTCAAAACATTTTTACAATTTTAACATTTTGGTATTTTTCACCAAGATAAAATTAATATACCATACAACTGTCAATACCATCTTTTCTTAGTCGCGCGCGTATAATTAGTACTTTGATAATTTTGATTGTCTTTTTTCCAATTTAGATATTTAACTTTTTTACTCAAAAATTTGAATAAAAGTTTGTTTAACAAAACTACGGTGTTTGTGTAAGAATACAATATAGAATGTTCAACAATAAACACTTTCTGAATTGAGATAAATTAAAATTTAACTAAACCTGAATTTTACTTATTTACAATTAAAAATTGAATTTTTTTCCATTTCATTCTCTTGATTTAATTAGGATTTTATTCAGAGCAAGATTTGTATGGTGTGCAAAATACATTTATGGTCATCACATAATTACGCATAAAGGATGAGATTTTAAGACCCAAAAATATTCAAATTTGACAACCTGCAGACTGGATTTTGTCAATTCTGCCTTAAACATAAATTAAATGATTGAAGAAGATCCGTACAGTCGTCTCATCCTTTGTTCTTCACCCTGTATTGTTTGTTTTGTTTACAAACATTGTAATCACAACTTAACATAGAGTGGTTCAGGCCCGTAACCAGGGGGGGGGGGCAGGTGCAACACCCTTTTTTCTGAAGGGGGGGTGCAATGACGAATTTGCCCCCCCCCCCCCAGTCCCATATAAAAGAAATTGTTTCTCATGATTTTCTAAAATCTAGAGATGTCAAACTTGACATCTTTGAAATCAAGAACTTATACAAAGTAAAACATCCTTTAAAGTGTAAACAGTGGGTTTAAAGGAAAAAATTCATTCATTTATTTTGGAATATAATAGCCATTTTTGGGAGTTTCAAAAACATTATTTTAAGCAAGGATATTTGTCATTTTTAGTCAAAGTAGAAGGTTTTTTTTGTGTACTCAAAAATTTACTAAGAATGTCTCAATGTCTCAATGTCAATAAATAAACTCTTTTAAACAAAATATTAGAAATTTTATTTTTTATTCATCTTCATTATATCATGATGAGGCCGAGGGACAAGAAGCCTTGATTTTAAATAATGATTTTTTTCCTTAAGCTAAAGTACCATTCATTTATTTTTTATTTATATTGTATATGTAAACTGAAAAGTTTCAGACACTAAAATGTAACCCTTAAAAGCTTAAATAAAAATGTTAGTCTTTATAGCGTACATTGACAATGTAAAGAAATATACCACCGTAAAAACAAACCAAGCATTGCTTTTTAAAAAACCAAAAAAAAAGAATTCGCCGGCGGCTCGCTTCTTTGCACCCCACCCCCCCAGGAAAAAATCCTGGTTACGGGCCTGGAGCCGTTTGTTTAACCTGAGATCATAAATATGTAAAGGAACCCCTTTTCTTTCAAGCGGTGCCTTAATAGTCTTAAAAGTTAAAAATATTAAAAGGTTTTATTTTACATTGAAAAATATTTCTACTCTGGCAGAAGATATTGGTTGATGAACGATTTCCAAATCGTTAACAAACAATTGCTTATTTTAGATAAAAATGATGGAAAATAAATATGGGGGGGGGATGACAGCAAATGATGCTCGTGCAGTTTGAAACTGTAAAAATTGAAATAAAACTTTTTTTCTCAATTTGTATTAAAAAGATTCGCCAAAAATAAGCAGAAAACAGCATAATGCGGTAAATTTTTTAAGATGACGCCTAAACTTGAAACCAACAACAAACACTTTTAATTGGAAGGAACTTAAAATAGTGAGAAACGGATTCCTATTAACTTGATACATATTTCATTGTACTTTAGAGATATTCAGCAAGTGTGTATATTTCGTCAAATAATCATTTTTCTCCCCTTCGAAAATAATTTTTATTTGCTGGATTGGACAAAAATGATTTTTAGAGGGAAATCAATGCATTTTTGTTCAAAAAGAAAAAAGAATGAAAAAAGTTGCCTTTTGATGTCCAATTTTTTTTCCCCAAATCTTCAAAAATGTACACCCCTGATTCAAAATGATATAACTTAATGCTTTGAACTAGATATAGATTAAAGGTTTTGCTGATATTTTAGTTTTTAACTCCGTAAGATGAGTTAGTTTGTTTAGGCCAACAGTTCCACTATTTCATTAGCTTCAACAGCTGTTCCAGTCACTACACCTGAAGAAAATTTATAAAATAGCCGCCATATTGGTTCTATAAGGACCAATTTAAAACTTTGATAATAGAAACAGTCGTTTGTAATTTTAAGTAACTTTCCATTTATAAAAAAAGGCCAAGGGGCATGTCCGATTCTCAACGTTACCCTTTAACTCTTTATTATGTCCATAATGTGGAAGATTTCGTCTTTTTCAGCTGAAACAGGCGTGGAACAATTTCCTCCATTGTTTCTGTAGTGCAAATCAGAAAGTTACTATTCAAGGAGAAACCACAATGTTAAACAAATAGTTTTCAAAATTAAAAGCATGGATAACTTATTAATTCTTGATTATAAAAAGCTTTTGACGGTGCAGTTGGGAATCGGACATGGCACTCTACAAATGAGTTGGCATTGGTAACTTTCAATTAGGTTTACAGTCCCTTTAAATTTAAGTTAATAAGACAAGAACTAAGAAAACCTTTCTGTCTTGTTCAAAAATAGAAGTAAGAAGCATTGTTTACAATCTTGTTTTTATTTGGTTACAAGTAACCAGTACTTGATCTGTATAGTAGGCCATAATAAATGTTAACAAATTATGTCTCTTTTCATTCAATCAAAGTTTTAAAAAATACATTCTTTTGGCAAAAAAAAATCTGCTTTAATTCTGAAATTGTGAGGTCAATAAAAATTTTATTTTCTTTGATCTTAACTGAACTAGACCAAAACAGTCATACATTTTTGCATTCCAATAGAAAAATACACGAAATTATTTGGCGAATGATTTGACCAACCTTGGGAATTAAAGTTTATATCTAGAGAGGTGTTTTGCCAGTTCTCTCCTTTTTTCTGTATTAAATAATTTTATAAATATGTCATTGAAAAATATTGGTAAAAACACCCTTTTCGTTTATGGTTTCAACAAATATTTAAATCTACTATACAATTACAATCTGAAGGTATTTCAATTATTTTTCTATTTTAACATTTGGGACTTGTTCTCAATCTCTTCCCATCAGAACAAGAAAATTGGTAAATTGTTTTATTAGTTTTGTTCATCTTTGTAAAGTCTAAGAAACCGTATCTTGAAATTTAATAATATAATATTTGTATAATGATACTGATATAAGGATTATAAAAAAGTGTTTAATATATCCCTGACAAAAGAATATTTTTCCCAGCAGAATTTCTCTGAATATCTTATCCTGAAACATAAAATATTAATTAGATTTCTGAAATAATTTTAAAATAAGGTGTTTTTAAAATCCTAACTTTTTTTTACCTGACATGAAAATATAAAGATGTTTAGAGAAGAGCAAAGAGCCAACCTAAAAAAGAAGTTTTCTGTTTATATTTAGGAAGATTTGCAGAGCCCCTTCTTTAAAACCTCTGTTTAACAGGATATTATATTAGAGAGGTTGCACTGTAAATTTTAAACGTGAATCAAGAACCAAATCAATATTTTTATACATATTAATTAATATTATTGGCTGTTCACAATTCATACATTTTCAATTGCTTATTTTTCCAATACGATTTTTAATATCAGATAACAAGCATTTTTCTAATAAACTATTTAAAAATTGTTTTTTATCAATTTATACCAAATTACAGAATAATAAGTTGCCATTCCGACAACCAGGTGTTGTTTAAGTGGCGCTATGGTGGAGGCGGGTTATAGGATCGTAATGCGCCAGTTGAAAAAAATATATATATAATAAAAAAACAGTTTGACTTATGTTTCATTTTAATAAAATGAAATAAGGAATTATTTTATTTGGTCAGAATTATATATTTAATAAAACAAAGAATAAAATAAAGAATTTTTTGTGGTTGTCATAGCAATTCGGTTGATCCCAATATATTCAATCTATAAATTTACATTGAAGATATAAGTTTAATTAAACTTTATTTGGTCCATTAATAGTTAATCCGTGGTTTAGATCAATTCAAACTGTTCAAGATAAATCATCGTTCTAGATTAGTTTAACGTATTCTATTGAATACCAGCTGACGTGCCCGGCGTTCCCCGTGGAATTTTAAAAACCATCAGAATTTTGAAAGTAAAAAAAGTTGTATTTTTTAGCCTATGGTACCCATTGGTTTCCTCAACAAATTCCACCCAATTTGGTCCAGCCGTTTGGTCAGTTATAGCTAATATATATATATATATTATATTTTTTTTCGTATACATAGCCGTACAATATATATATGTATTTTGAAACCCAGATAACACAAAAAACATTAAAAAGATAGACAGAGGAAAACAAAATCAATTTTTAAAAGAAAAATTCCTTATTTTTTATTCATTTTTCTTTTTAAGCCCGACTGAGAAAAGGACAAAATAACATATTATGTTTAAAAATCCAGCTTTCTACAAGTCATTAACAAATCCACGCTACATGCTAGTAACAAAAATCAATTATCCAAACCTGATAGTTAAAATTAAGGAAAAACAGGAAGTTCAGCCCGCGTAAAATAAAGTGTTCACTATGGTTTATCCCACCCATGGTCAAGTTTCTTGAGACAGCGGTGCAACACAAAACGTTGGGGTAAATAACTTTTAACCAAATTTAAGCAAAACAAAATAAGTGATAGACCTGAGTAACACGCACCTCTGCCCCTTTGGTAAAAGTGAATTCAACCTATATGAAGCATAAAGTCTGACCGCGTCAACCTTATTGCACCGGCTAGTCCTTTCCATAGAGCTTGGTACAGTACAAACTGGGACCAGAAAGGTTGACCCGGCTCGGAAATTCAAATGTACTACGGCTGCCCTTGATAACAAACTGAAAATAGGTTTATTAATGTTTCGTTTTGTTTTATTTTGTATCCGTGACCTTGTGCTTACACCCTTTAATAAAAATAAATTATTAAAGTTCAAAAATAAATGTATTTGAATACTTATTTTCTTATATGCATATATATATATATTTATAAACATATGAGCGAAATTGATAAAAATAAAATGGTTTACAGGAAGCCTATGAAACGGACTGTAGAGTGTGATGTTCCATTCACAACGGTACCCTTTAAACCTCTGTCTGAGAAATAATGAGAAATATGTTATTGTAGATCCCCAAAATCAACGGTACCGTCCCGCCCGTTCAGAATTGGACATACTTCTTAAGATTAAGATGACATTTTTTACTATGTAACTACTTTTATAAGTATTATAGTGCTTAGCACACCCCAGTTCAAGTTTAACCTTCACTCAGTAGAAAAGAAAAGAATGAAGGGTTTTAGAGATTCCTCCACAAAATCTAGTTGATAACATTTATTCAATTATATTAACCTTATTCATTAATAACAACAATTGTAATTATAACCTAATTAATTGTTGTCATATTTTCAGTATGTAATCCCAGAGTAAAGAGAATAAATGGATAAACACTTTTTTATCATTTCTTCATCTTGCAAACCTATTGGCAAGGGTAAATATACTGACTAGGATCTGAACTCATCCTATGTTCAGTACAATACTACTCTACAAATGTAGAGGTCATTTTGAAATTACACCTACAGTCCTTTTAATTGAATTAAAGAATATTTAATTCATCGACATACTAAAAATTTGACAAGATGTTTAGTTTCCTTTTAGAATTTCGGTCAAATAAGAAATATATAATGTAGGGATATCTCATAACTCTAATTCAGCCAATCTTATTTTCTTCGTTATTTAAAAATTTTAAAAAACTATTTTAGAATATATTACAGGCACTTTCGCTGCAATTTAAAGTTTTATGACAAAAATACTATCTGTTTTTTAGCTTTAGTTTGAAAAAAGTATTAAGCTAAATGCTGATTGGGTTTTGCATGAGAGCGGGCACAGTTTGACCATTAGTAAACTGTGATTTTTCCTTTTTAAAGCTAAATTGGCATTTTGAAATAGGTCTTAAAAAACATCAGATCGTCGAAGAAAATATGCTAATGAAAAAAATACGCTTGTGAAGTTGATAATCAAAAGACTAATCAATTTAAGATTTTAATAAAAGTTTTAAAATTGGACATTTAAGAAGGGAAACATTAGTAATTAAAAATTAAATTCAAATACCATCTGTTCAAAATTGCGAATAACGGAAAAATGCAAAGTGTTTAAAGCAATCAGGTTTTTTCTCAAACACATTGAGAAAAGTTCTGAATACATTAAAGTTTATTTTAAAATTATACTAAGTTGACATTTATAAATGATTAAAATACGGTTCTGTTTTAAGTACTTATATGAATCAATTATGATTTCAACTAAATAAGGTGCACTTAGCACAGTTAAATAAATTATTTGTTATGATCGTAGAACAAGAAATTCTAAAACATTTCATAGAAAACATTGCAAAGATGGATATTTTATAGACAGGACATTTCAAAGGTAAGACATCATAGACAGGACATTTCATAGGTAAGACATCACAGACAGGACATTTCATAGGTAAGACATCACAGACAGTACATTTCATAGGTAATACATTATAGGCAGGCCATTTCATAGGTAAGACATCATAGACAGGACATTTCATAGGTAAGACATCATAGACAGGACATTTCATAGGTAAGACATCACAGACAGGACATTTCATAGGTAAGACATCACAGACAGGACATTTCATAGGTAATACATTATAGGCAGGACATTTCATAGGTAATACATTATAGACAGGACATTTCATAGGTAATACATTATAGGCAGGACATTTCATAGGTAAGACATCATAGACAGGACATTTTATAGATAGGAAATTTCATAGATATTATAGAAGTCTCAATAACTCAGAATGATAACATATTTTCACAAGTTTATTTATTCATATGTTACTCTTTTAACATACTAAGAATGACTAGTGTAAAATCCGAGATTGAACAAGTTTGCGAAATATCAGTGAAACTGTTTGCGCATTTATGCAAACTCAATTCTAATTTTAACATTTAGGACAAATCATATTTTCTTATAAAAAATTCAGGCTTCTACAATATGACTTTAAATAGACAGGATATTTCATAGACTGAATAGATTTTTTATTTGTAAAGCTTATATAATTTGAACTTTTAAGCGGACTATATAGATTATTGAATTGTGTTTAAGCGGACTATATAAATTATTGAATTGTGTTTAAGCGGACTATATAAATTATTGAATTGTGTTTAAGCGGACTATATAAATTACTGAATTGTGTTCGAACATTGCGTTTCCTTTGAAATGTGTGCTTAATGGATTTGAGAAAGGTTTGGAAAATATTTTTAATCTAAATTATTAAAGTAGAGATTTTAGATATACAGGAAAAAACAGGGTGTTCTAGAAAATACAGGGTGTTTTTGAAAATACAGGGTGTTTTTGAAAATACAGGGTGTTCTAGAAAATACAGGGTGTTTTTGAAAATATAGGGTGTTTTTGAAAATACAGGGTGTTTTAGAAAATACAGGGTGTTTTTGAAAATACAGGGTGTTTTAGAAAATACAGGGTGTTTTAGAAAATGCAGGGTGTTTTTGAAAATACGGGTGTTTTTGAACATACAGGGTGTTTTAAAAAATACAGGGTGTTTTTTCATTTTGTTAAGAGAGAAAAAGAAATGCACCAAAAAAAAATAAATTTCGTCAAAACTGTGTTCCATAAAAATCAGAACGTGGTCTTCTCTCCAAAACAAAAATCAAAGTTCAAGAGGAATTTCCGGAAATTGAAGTTAACGTTAGAACTTTTTAACTCAACCCAGTTCCCCAACCAAAATTTTAGGCAAATTGTTCTAGGGGTTCACGAGTTATGATTGGACATCCAAACACTAAGACAGATTGGTGAATTTTTGTCTTTCTCTTAACGAAATGAAAAAGACAGTTTTTCAAAAACACCATGTACGTATTGACGTCAAATTTATGAAAAATATCTGTTGTTTCCGAGAAAATAATAACTGACATTTGAAAGATTTTATCTGGAGAAAATGTCCTTCATTTCAAGCAAACACGATAAATGTCATTTTATGAAGATTTTAGTAAAACTATGTTTTTACATTATGGCATTTTAGGACAGCTTGAGAACTATAGTTATATTGTTAACAATAACAATGCTATAAAATGTTAGAGTAAGAACCAAAAACAGGAATGGTAAGATGACTTTAAATAGTCCAAAGAACATATTTAACACAGCCAATGTACGGTGTAAGCAGACTCATTTGATGTAATAAAACTATTTTTTTGTAAAAACATCAAATGAACTCAATTATTGCTAAAATGTTGATTTCTGGTTCTCAAGTTGTTAGTTGGAATCTCTGAATAGGGAAGTGTGACCTTTCATGTTCGATCACTGTTCAATCATTGTATATTTTTTTTATAAAAGTAGCTCAAGAGAGGTTTTAATATGTAAAATGTAAACAAAGACTCTTTTTCGTCTCCTTAATTTTATTTTTCTTTTGTCTTATGGACACTGGACAGGTATAGTGTTTATGAGAGGGGGGGGGGGTATAGTTCATTGTCAATAATATAAAAAGGATATGTTGAAGTGTCTTTTAGTTTTCTCAAATAAAGATCAAACTTTAATTAAAAATTTAACAAGTTTTATAAAAGTTTACAATGAAGATACTAGAACTTTTCCGTTTAAACTTGATTTAACCTAAAGGACGACAAGAAGTTACAAAGTATTAAACAAAGAGTAATTAAACTACGGAAAGCCATCTAAGCTTAAAGATCTTGATTCTTTATTCTCATACAAAATTAATAAACTAAACTTCTAATACCACTTTACCCTCTTCGATTTCCACTAATAAATACAACTTCTTAAAAGGTTGCTTAAATTGCGAAAGTTTTCTCCCGGTATATTATTAAAAAAATTAAGTTCTAACGAATTGGTGAGTTTTTTAGATTTAAGAAAAAAGATTTCTTGAAGTGATATTTTTAAACACGACCAATCAAATAAGACCTAGCAATTATTGGTTTTAATAAAGAAAATGGAGTCTAGATAAATAAAATTGCGCCTTAATAGATAAAATGACATTTGATTAAATAAAATGTTGTTCAAATAAATAAAATGGTGTCTAAATTAATAAAATGGTGTATAATCAAATAAAATTGTCGTATGTCTAATTAAATGAAATGTTGTCTAAATAGATAAAATGGTGTATAATGAATAAAATGACGTCTGATTAAATGAAATGGTGCCTGATTAAATAAAATGGCTTCTAAGTATATGAAGTGGCAACTAATATAATAATACAATAATATAGCATCTAATTCAACATAATGACGTCTAATTATATGAAGTGGCAACTAATATAATAATGTAATAATATAGCATCTATTTAACATAATGACGTCTAATTATATGAAGTGGCATCTATTATAATGATACAATAATATGGCATCCCATTCAACACAATGGCGTCTAAAAAAATAGCATAAAAATAAAAAATGAATGACACGTACGTGATATGAGAGAGATCAACCAGCCAGGGATGAGGGAAGTTCAGTTCTGCAGAGGTCGCAGCCTGCAAATATGGGAATTTAAAAAATATAATTTAAAGGGAATTTTGTCATATTTTTAAGTGACCACACATTTAAAAAAGAGGATCATGCCCGATTAACAACGATACCCTTTAAACACTTATCAGGTCAATTGTGAGCTATATCCTCAGTTTTCTATTTCTAACTCTACAAATGGAGGCCTTTAATTTCAAAAATTTTAATAACACAAAAGAGAAAGAAATATGAAACTTTGAACTCCCTTTTAGGCGAAAGAGAACGTACTCTCCATTCAATACAAAGGACTGTAAATCTATTTTGAGATTATAATCCTTCTTAAAGTTTTGTTAAAGAAAGTGCTTCAGCAAAACTTGAAGTGGTGTAGATTGAATTTAAATCGTCAACCCTCAGATGTTTCGGTAAAATAGTTTTAGAAATCGTCTCAACAAAGGAATAAAAAAAGCTTTGCCTTTTCTTTCCGAAGAGTAAGTGATCGATTAATAACACAAAGATTCGCCTGCTTATACATCTGTAGACTGGTTTGTATGGAGGTTTTGCTATTTAGGCGTAATTATTACAACATTTCGCGAAATTGAAGTTTCGCCAATTACGCGTAATCCTGCGAAATTACACGAAATGAAAATTATTTCGCGTAACTGCACGTAATTTCGCGTAAGTGAATAATCTATTACGTTGGAAACCCTATAACTCACTTATGCTTTTCTGTAGCTCTTTACATGTACATTTTAGCACTAAAAGAATTAATTGGCAAAATTATCATTGACTTTTGTTTGAAAGTTTGAGACCTTTAAATGATGTGTGTTTAAGTGATGTGTGTTTAAAGAATGGAAACATTATTTCAAATAACCCTCCATGGAAAGAGTGGCATTCCTGATTCACAACTGTACACTTAAAAGCTTTTTCTGATGAAGTATTTAAAGATATTCATGATTTTGTTTTTAAAACTGATTATTTTAATTTTTTGTTACTCTACAAATCATTTCTTGCCTTAGAAACAATGGTATAAATTATAAAAATTAACCATTTTTAACATTATTTGTCAAATTAAAGTTTTCATAGGTTCCGTTGTGAATCAGGCAAAGTACTCTTAAAATTACAGCAGCAGTCCATCAAAAGATTATGATATAACTTCTTCTTTAACTTTAATTCGCTTATCAGTTTTCGATCTGAACAAAACTAATTCAATTCTCAACTCCTGAGACACTTGACAAAAATAAAAAGTTTGTCCAATTACTTTTGACAAATGAATCAATAGCTCAGAGGTTATTCCTAAAACGAAACGATCTTTTTCAGAAAAAATAATAGACGATTGTTTTTTCGGTCGTCTTTTTAAACGATTTACAACCCTATCTGTGTACATAAATTTTGAATTTTTAAATCTTTGACCACATAAAAAGAAATTAACTTTATTCTTAAACTAGTTCTTACCAAATACATTTCGTACACATTGAGAATGTTCCTGGGCAGATGACAGATAATCATGATGATAACAACACCAGACAGCAGATACGTACTCGTTCTATCCCTTCATGTAAACATGTTGATCAACATGATGATGCAAAGGATGATGAACTAGATGATAAACTAGATGATGAATTCGATGATGAACTAGATTATGAACTAGATGATGAACTAGATGATGTACTAGATAATGATCTAAATAATGAACAAGAAGATGAACAAGATGATGAACTAGAAAATGAACTAGATGATTGAAAAGATGATGAACAAGATGATGAACTAGATGATGAACTAGATGACGAACAAGGCAATGAACAAGATGATGAACAAGATGATAAACATGATGATGAACAAGATGATGAACTAAATGATAAACTATAGATGATGAACAAGGTGATGAACTACTGAACTGGAATGATAAACATGATGATGAACATGATAATGAACTAAATGATGAACTAGATGATGAACTATATGATGAACTAGATGATGAACTAGATGATGAACAAGATAATGTGCTAGATGATGAACTAGATAATGAACAAGATGAGGAACATGATGATGAACAAGATTATGAACCTGAAGGTTGCAAGATGTGAATCATCTCCCCCAAGTTTCTTCATTCTTCTCACCACTAGATAGTTGAGTACAGACACTGAACACAGCGGGATCAAACCTAAATCACAAAAAAAATTATTTTGCTATTCAGAAAAAAACTAAAAAAACTTCTTAAAGGGACTGTTATCGTAAATTTAATGGACCCTCAATTCAACTACCCGTACAAAGACACATTATTCGGATCCTGTTTTTATGTTTTTATTTTCTCAAAAAAAATTGTTAAGGTATTTGAATTTTATTTGACAAAAAGTGTATTTCAATAACTACGCCAACTTGCATAATTTCAATAATGTCATGCTGAATTTTGCATTCAGAATTTGCAGTAAAATGAAAGTTTGCAGGCAAACTTTAGCTGAATTGCACAATTATACATGATTATAAATCAAGACTAAAACTAGAAACTAAATTGATTGGTGAGATCTGTAGTATAAAAGGTGAGCTTAAAAGTCCAGTAAATCTATTACACAATTTTTGCAGATTTTGAATCAGAGATAAAAATATGAACAAAAATATTCCGATACAGACAACATACACTTCGTTGTAGTTTTACGTGCTAAGAACGTTCGGGAATTATTAATTAAAGGAGTGGTAGTAAAGTTTATAGAGGGGGAGGGGTATAATTGAGTTTACAAAGGGATCGTTCTTTCTCGGGAACTAACAATAGGAAGGGAAGGGGTTGAGAGATTGGACTTACTTGACTTACTTGACTTACTTGACTTACTTGACTTACTTGACTTACTTGACTTACTTGACTTACTTGACTTACTTGACTTAATTGACTTAATTGACTTACTTGACTTACTTGACTTACTTGGCTTACTTGGTTTACTTGACTTACTTGACTTACTTGACTTAATTGACTTAATTGACTTACTTGACTTACTTGACTTACTTGACTTACTTGACTTACTTGACTTACTTGTTACTTGACTTACTTGACTTACTTGACTTACTTGACTTACTTGACTTACTTGACTTACTTGACTTACTTAACTTACCAAGAAATATGAAAACTGCTCCGATAGTGTAGTAGCTGTATTCAGGGGACTTCCTGGTCACAGGGTTCACAAATCAAATTCGTCACAATTCACAATTTACAACGATACCCTTTAAAACTGTGTCTGAATAAATTAAATATCAATGTTTATAATTTTGAAAACTGACTATTTTCAATTGTAGTTTCTCTAAATTACTGCAGGAAAACCTACAGGAATTATCAGAATGAAACACTTTTAAAACTAGAAAAACGACAATATATATTCAACATTGATCAGATAAAGGTTTCAAGGGTACCGTTGTGAATTGGGCATTGCCAATTTTGAATAGAGGGCCAGTTAAAATTAAGCTTACACAAACAACCTTTTATATCTAATACAACTATGGAATAAAAAAACAAATAGTTGAGAGAACTTGGGGATATGATTGATTTACAGCATAGTTTATGTATATTTACGGAATTAAGCTTTAATGCAATATTACACGATACACAATAATATATTCTTATTATTACTCATCTTATAGGGCCCGGGTAAAATTCACATAGAAGAGACTATATCACGTAGATTTACGGTTCTGTCAATATTCCAGAAAGCTGTGACTTTCGACCACAATTTGACACATTAAACATAATTTTTTAATTAATAATAATTAATAATTAATAATAATTTATTGGATACAAACAGACAAGCCAAATTTATATATAGATATATATATTCATATATATATATATGACAGGCTCCTAAATGGAGTAACTCTGATTTTTTTCAATTTGAAAAATGTTTCTAGAAAAGATGATTTTGTTTCCTGAGTAGGGTTGGTAGAACGTAGGGTATAGAGAAACTGTCACTAGAATAATAAAATATTAAAATTTTAAAATTGGATTTTTAAAACCCCTTTCTATAATAAAGTTTTTTTTAAAGATATTCATGTAAGTATTTATCAATATTAAAAATCAAAATAATTATAAAGATTATTAAAGTGATAATAATAATAATGGTAATAATAATAATAATGATAATAATAATATTATAAAAACAATAATAATTACTCGTTTTTCTCCTTGACGAAGTCTATCTTTAGTTCAAAGAATTTTGGTAGATTGAAGAATACTGAGAAAGCAAAAATCGGTAGAATATATCCACCAAACGATCCCTAGTCAAACAATTATTACTATTTCAGGAATAATTGCAAAAATTGTATTATAATTCTTTTATTTTAAAATAGATTTATAAATAATTATAATGGGACGGATTGATAAATTTTTAGATCAATCGATTTATAGGTCATTGGAATAAAGGATCAATGGATGGATGGATCAATGGATTGATGGATCAATGGATTGATGGATCAATGGATTGATGGATCAATGGATTGATGGATCAATGGATTGATGGATCAATGGATTGATGGATCAATGGATTGATGGATCAATGGATTGATGTAGATGGATCAATGGATTGATGGATCAATGGATTGATGGATCAATGGATTGATGGATCAATGGATTGATGGATCAATGGATTGATGTAAGGATGGATTGATGGATCAATGGATTGATGGATCAATGTATGATGGTTCAATAGATTAATGCATCAAAGGATTGATGGATCAATGGATTAATGGATTTTTAATGGGTTGTTAAGATAACGCAAAGCCCTACCGGTATTTATAACCTATCCTAATATTGAATTAAGTATAGAATGATAAAAGTGTATGGTTATATTGGATTTCAAAAAGTAGATGCATGAAATATTTAAGAAAATGGATATTTTTCAAATATTTGGATTCTTGAAATTCGGAACAAAAATGTTTGGCAGAAAATATTTGAAAAATGTTCTGAAAAGGGGTAAATATTTACCATTTGTAATGAAAACTACAAAAACTTCTAATATAGAAACTTAAAATATTATTTTTTTATTAAAAAGAATATAAATCTACAGTGTATTTAATTAAAACTATAAATCGACAATAAAGTTAATGAAAAATGGTTATTGGCAATTTATTTACAAAAATTCCAAAAACATTACAAATATTACAATAATACAAGCTTAATATCAAATAATGGTTTCATACATTAATAGCTAAAAGGCCCGACATTGCCCGTGGAAAAAAATAATAATAATTTCGAAAAAAAATCTATTTTTTAGCCTATTTTACCCCCAGGCTACATATGAGTGTCCTCTAAAAATTTAGCCCATTTGGTCCAGCCGTTTGGCTGGCTATAGGAAATTCATATACAGGGTGTCCCACATGATATTAGATCGTGTATAGTTCAAAATTGTGATTTTAGGGACTAATCAGAAAATTAAAAAACAATGAATGATTTTTAAAAAATGTAATAGGTTTCCATAAAAGATATCTTGCAGAAAATTCCATGTTTTTCAAATATTATGTGCGTATTTTAGCGTTAAAGCTTGGAGATAATCTAATATGATTTGGGACGCTCTGTATATTAATGTCTGTTTTATTATATAGATATAGTCGTATGAAATTATATTATTTATTAAATTAAAAGCCATTTAATTAAAATAGAACGAAACGATGTAAAAACTGGTTTAGTAGTTTTTACAAATAAAAGTGATAATCGTATTTTCTTTAAAAGAAACGACAGTTTTTTGTTTTAAAAAACGACCGTTTGAAAAAACGTTTTACAGAATAAATTTTTCGGTGATCAACAGCATTGTTTAAAATGAATTTTAGAAACTTTAAATTAATGAAAAAAAATTTATACCAAAAATAAATGTTTATTTCATGAAGAAATATGAGCAGTGTAGATAAGAAATATAAATTAATGTACAGCTTGTAAACACAAATGAATTGATACAAATAAATCTAATAAAGAAACATAATTAATAACCAACAATAATAAATTCAAGAAAATTAGGGTTCAGTAACATTATGCCTAGTTCGTGAATGCCTAGATCACACTATGCCTAGTTCGTAATGCCTAGATAGCATTATGCCTAGATAACATTATTCCTAGATTCATGAATGCCACGATTGCATTATGCATAGATAACATTATTTCTAGATTCATGAATGCCTAGATAACATTATTCCTAGATTCATGAATGCCACGATAACATTATGCATAGATAACGTTATTTCTAGATTCATGAATGCCTAGATAACATTATGCCTAGATTCATGAATGCCTAGATAACATTATGCCTAGATAACATGATGCCTAGTTACCCAGTGCCTAGATAACATTAGATCGAATTGAATGCTTAAGCATATTCAAGCAAGAAAGAAAAGATACTAGAAAATTCAAATGATTTATTACATATTTTATTGTATCTCACTAGGAATCACCTAATCACATTTGTTATATTTAATAGGCTGACCTTAAACTTACCTTTTTTATTGATATATAAATTCTGTTATCGTTATATTTTTTGTCAAAATTTTAACGTTTCCACTAATTAAAAGTCATCCGGACCATAAAGAAAACAATAAAGTCATTTGCAGATTTTTGTAAAATGTTCCCGGATTGTAAGTTTTTCCTCTCTCTCTCTTCTTAATATTTTTATATCTAGCTGTTTAGGCATTCCATGCACTCTTATGTTATCTAGGCATAATGTTATCTAGGCATTCATGAATCTAGGCATTGTGTTATCTAGGCATTATATGTTATCTAGGCATTATATGTTATCTAGGCATCATGAACCTATAGGCATTCAGAAATGTAGGCATAATGTTGTCTAGACATTCAGAAATGTAGGTATAATGCTGTCTAGGTATTCAGAAATGTTGTCTAGGCATTCACGAACTAGGCATTTAGTATTCGCGAACTAGGCATAATGTTACTGAGCCCTGATTTTCTTGAATTTATCATTTTTTGTTAGAAATAATTATATTTCATTATTAGATTTGTAATTTTTAAAATTAGTTTTATTAAAAAGAAAATCTACCTTGTCCATGTGTTGTGGCCTACACACACTTAGATATCTTTCTACAGCTAGTGAGATGACACAGTAGATGCTCACTAAAATATGTATATACATATATATTTATATTTCAGTTTTTAAACTTCACATTTTATTTGCAACAAATTGAACTTAACATAATGTTTTACGTCTCACGTCGATCCCTGTAGTCAAAATTCTTTATACATATATTTGAATATATATTTAGTTCATTCTAACTTAATATTTAGAATAAGTTGAGTATGTATAATATTTAGAATAAGTGAGTATGTATAACATTATTTACCATTTAGAAATATTGAGGTTAGAGGGAGTAGTGTAGGCATCATGTACGGGTACAGCCATGTTCTAAAATTTGAACATCAGACATGTACTTTCTGTACACTTTACTTGTCCACCTGTCTACCTGTCTACCTGTCTACCTATCTACCTGTCTACCTGTCTACCTGTCTACCTGTCTACCTGTCTACCTATCTACCTGTCTTCCTGTCTACCTGCTGTCTACCTGTCTACATGTATACCTGTCTACCTGTCTACATGTCTACCTGTCTACCTGTCTACATGTCTACCTGTCTACCTGTCTACCTGTCTACCTGTCTACCTGACCTGTAATACTCCGACAGCTGAGGGAGACAGAATGTGAGAAACACGAAGCCCAGAAATATTGAATCTGAATTATTCGTTTTTTAATTTAACATTTTTTTGTTGACAGTCAAAATAAATATTCCGAGGTTGATAAACAGTATATTTAATTGGTTATTTTTTGTTGAATTTTGGACTTTTTTTGACGAATATAGTAGAGCTAACTCTCATTTCTTCATTCATCAGATTTTCGTTTGTAAAAATTGTTTGTATCCAAATTAAACGTTTATCAAATTTGAAATCTTGTCAATTTAGAATTGATAATAAAGAACTAGTGAACAAATTAGTATAATGTTTATATTTGTAACTTTACGTTTTTAGAAAGTGTATATGAACTAATTTCATTTATAGAGTGGCATACGTGATTAACAACGGTATCGTTGAAAGCAAGGAATAAATGAGTTATCCATGTCAATTGTATCTTCTATTGCATATTTCTGCTACAGAAACAATAAAGGAAATTAGTTAAACACGTTTCAAGCAAGGAAGACAACGACATGTCCCAATCGCACGCTCAACTAGATCGAGAAAAAGATGTCTATACGGCTGTACGCTGAACTAGACAGAGGAGAAGATGTCAATACGGCTGTACGCTCAACTAGATAGAGTAGAAGATGTCAATACGGTTGCACGCTGAACTAGACAGAGGAGAATATGTCAATACGGTCGCACGCTTAACTAGACAGAGTAGTAGATGTCAATACGGCTGAACGCTGAACTAGACAGAGGAGAAGATGTCAATACGGTTGCACGCTCAACTAGACAGAGGAGAAGATGTCAATACGGCTGCACGCTGAACAAGACAGAGTAAAAGATGTCAATACGGCTGCACGCTGAACTAGACAAAGGAAAAGATAAAATTTACACAAATTTGGTCAGAACTGAAAACTTTAGATTTGGATACCTTGAATCCCGATTGCTTAATCTGAATATCCACGGATACAAACTTAATCTTTAGATATGACACCTAGCACTAATCTCGATTTTTAAAGTTTTCAGCTCAGAATTAATAAATAATAGAATGAAATATATCCTATACTAATATTATAATGCCAAGAATAACTAACTTGGAAAGTTTTAAATCAAATTTTAACAAACTTAATAATTGGCTTTTAAAATTAATGCATATTTCCTAAGCGAAAGGAGCTTAACTTCCCCCATACATCCGCATGCCTCACTTTTGTTTTAAAAGGACTGTAAACGTATTTTAAAGTGAACCTCTATTGAAAGAATGGCTACAAAATGAATAAGATATTCATATTTTTGTTTTTGAAACTCTTTTTTTCATGTTTGTTTTTTTCTGCAAAAGTAACTTTTGCAATTCTTGCTTCAGAAACAATTCGTAATGGTCGTTAACCCTGAGTTCCGGCATTTAAACTTTCTGCCATTTGTCGTTCAACGATTTTCGCTCATTGCATCGGTTTATCGTTTGCGATGTTAAACGATCATTTGTAAAAGACCGATCCGAAAATTGGACCAAACAAGTTTTCCACGTGGTTCACCTTCGTTAACCTCGCTGAATTTTTATTACGATTAGCATTGAACCACAAAATATTTTCATTCTTAATAAAAATATTGAAAATGCTGATTCTGTTTAAACAATCTCAATTCTTGTTTTCAGTCACGTTCACAATTCTGGGAAGAGATGGGCTAAGCTTTGGGTTCATTTAAGGGACTGTAGATGTAATTTAAGGGACTATAGATGTAATTTAAGGGACTGTAGATGTAATTTAAGGGACTGTAGATGTAATTTAAGGGACTGTAGATGTAATTTAAGGGACTGTAGATGTAATTTAAGTTCCTAGCTCTATATATAAATATCTAGTAACATGTCCGATTCACATTGATTCATTTTAAACCTTTGAGAATTGGGGAATCAATGGAGAATATTAAATACAACAATATCTTCCATATTCATAACCAGATATTTTCAGGGTCAATTAAACTTACATACACAGTCTCTTTAGGGAGCAGAGGTTTAGGGAGCCGAGGTTTAGGGAGCATAGGTTTAGGGAAAAGAGGTTTAGGGAGCAGAGGTTTAGGGAAAAGAGGTTTAGGAAGCAGAGGTTTAGGGAGCAGAGGTTTAGGGAGCAGAGGTTTAGGGAGCAGAGGTTTAGGGAGCAGAGGTTTAGGGAAAAGAGGTTTAGGGAGAAGAGGTTTAGGGAGCACAGGTTTAGGGAGCATAGGTTTTGGGAGCAGAGGTTTAGGGAGCAGAGGTTTAGGGAGAAGAATTTTAGGTAGCAGAGGTTTAGGGAGCAGCTGTTAGAGTTTAAAGAGGTGTATGGTTGATAAAATATGTTTTCTCTTCATTAAAAAAGATACTGCATGAAATGATGAAACTCCATTTGTTTGCCAATAAACTCAGTCCTGCTCATGCAGAGATTGCTTATATTTCTCCTAGAAACTGCAGTACTCTTAAATGGAAACAAACCTAAATATAAACCAAGAAACTATATATTTCTTGCCAATAACAGCTCAGGCAGATTTGTGTTTATATTTCTCCCAGAAACTGTAGTGAACTTAAATGTAAATAAACCTACCTATAACAGCCAACCATCTCAACAAACTAAGGAAGGTTTGATTTAGTCTCAGCTTTTTACTCAGGAGAACCAGGTTACAGGATAGATTTCCTAGATATATTGTATTGTATTAAAGAAACTGCAGACGTAAGTTAAAGTGAGATTTCCTAGATATATTGTATCGTATTAAAGGAACTGCAGACATAAGTTAAAGTGAAATTTCCTAGATATATTGTATTGTATTAAAGGAACTGTAGACGTAAGTTAAAGTGAGATTTCCTAGATATATTTTATTGTATTAAAGGGACTATGGACGTAATTTAAAGTGATGTTCCATATACAGAGTTGCATGTCTTATTCACGACAGTAACCTTTAAAGCATTGCCTCATCAAAAATGCATAAGATATCCGTTATTTTACCTTTTAGAATCTATTATTTTCAATGATGTTCAATTATGACACTGGAAAAACGACGATTTCTTTCAACAATATTGATCTGATAAAGGTTTAAAGGGTATTCTTGTGATTCTGACGTGCATGTCTATAATTTTATGGTTAATTAAAAACAAGAGTCTCTTAATAGCTCTGGCAAGGGCCAATGGGGTATTTATAAAAATATGTAGGGTGTCATAAAAAAAATATTTCTTTCAAAATATTTTTAATTTTTTTTATTTTGTTGAACATTTTCCAAAAGATTCTTTTAATTTCAACTATCTTTAACTAAGGAACAGATGTGACGTTTTGGACATATGTTAATACATTTTTTTAAGTATGTGGAAAAAATTCTGCAATTTAAAAAAAATTATGATAAAATTAAGCGCTGGGCAACAAAAAGTTACTTTTAAAATACCCTCCAAGGACAAAAAATATTTACACTTTTTTCTTTTCCCCCTGTACTGGTATTGTGGAACTAGCCTGTAATCCCCATGGTAACAACAGAAGAGAGAAGGACTCCGTTTATCCAGAACTCAGATGAGTACCCTAGACCCATCCTATATATATATGTATATCATATACATATCTAATTATACTTTATTCGATAAAAAAAAAACACTTTTTATAACATAAAATGAGTTACAAAAATGATCAAAAATAGTTTCTGCTTTAAAGTGCCCCTTTATTTACAGATGAGTGAACTGTCCCATTCACAACGATACATTTTAAATATTTAAAACTTTTAAAACTAAACTAAAGTGACTTATAATGCGGGAGTTTGTCTTCACTTCCACATTATTGATCAGATAAAAATTTAGGGGTACCGTTGTAAATCGGACACGCCCATTTTTTTTATTGGAGAGTCATTTGAAATTATGTCGGCAGTCCCTTTAAAAGATTGTAAGATACCAAATTAATTAAAAAAAAATGTTATTTGCCAGGTAAGTAAATTACGTAGGGGTTGTTTACATTTTACTGTGTCGTATTTGCACTGCGCAGGAACTGGTTTAGGGTGCAAACAAACAAAACAGATAGTTAACATGCCTGAGCCCAAAACTTAAGACAGTGTATCGTTATGAAACCCAGTTTTGTAACCCGAGTTTCACGAATGGAGTTTGGCAGTTTCGTTGATTTTAATATTTTTGTAATGAAATATGAATTTATTTAGTTTCTTCATGTTCTCTATTATTTTTGAATCTCTTAAATGAAAATCTACATAAATGTATACACCCCAAACAGGAAACTCGGGAGTTTCGTTCAACGATACTCTTTTAAATTTTTGGCTCTGGCTTTCCAACACTGCCCAGGAAAGTTTTTGTTTACATTCTTTGTTATTGTTTTTATAAAACTAGTTTCTAGCAGTAAAATGCGTAGACAAACACCATTCCCTCAACCTTTAGGATACATAGTATATTATTCAGTTGTTGATGCTGGTAATTTTGTTATAAATGAACAAAAATGAAAAATAAAGACGATTAGGGGTTAATGAGAACAAATGAGAACACTGTACCTCACAAATAGATAAAAATTATAAATTTGAAATAGCTGGAAGTTGAAATAAATAGGATATGAATAAGCTGTAACTATAATATGAATATCTATTAAAAACATTAATTTGTAAACAAGTTTAATCAGATGAAATTAGATAAGAAATTTATTAATTTTGTATTTTTTTATTTCATCGGAAACTGAAATATAAAGAAAAAGATGTTTTTAAACACAAATTCTTCAAGTGTACACGTTGAGATGAAAACTTATGTAGTAATTGATAGTAATTGAAACAAGCTTGTTAACTTAAAACATATTTTTAGTATTTTATTTTTACACACATTTCAATCAGCATTTTCTAGATAGATATATAGATCGATGGATAATATGTAATATCTATTTATGTTTGACTATTCTAATTATTAGTTTGTACCCAATAATCGTCAAAACGGACGAACCGATTAGAGGCAAGAACTTTTGTGTTAAGTGTCGTTAATCTTAAATGATGCTTTATTCTGAGATTCACAATACAAAAGTTCGGCCTTCAGAGCTGGGAATGTTTGTGTTAGATACTGATAATCCCGATTGCTTGATTTCGATATCCACTTGATGATTTATACAGAACAATACATTTCCATATCTTCATTTTAGTTACCCCCCCCCCCCCTCCTGTTTGAGATTATGCATTGATCTCGATATCCACAATACAATAGTTCCCAGCTCAGGCTCAATTTAATTTGTCATAACACAAATCTAGTAAATAATTATTCAATCAACATTTATAATGTAATCCTTAATAAATAGGAATGCTTCACAAGATCTTAAAGTTGAAATAATAGAGAATTTTTAATGAACAAAACAGATAATGATAATTAACTAACAATTCTCAATCTTTATTGAGTGAGATGTATTATCAAAGGTCATTTTTTTAAATTTCTGAATAATATTCATCTTTTGGTTTTTTTGCAATTTGTGAAATTTCAATTCTGACAGTTTTCGTATCATAAAACTGCTGTTATTTTTTTATTTTGGCTTTATACACATTTATGATATGAAATAAAAAATCTTTCCTAACCGTAAAACTAAAAGGGGTGCAGATTTGTTATTACTTTATTGCTAAATTTTCGCATAGTCATGTTTTATTTCAAATTCCACTACAACTTTCATAGCAGAGGTAAAAACTTTTGGATAATTAATCTGTCCATGACGGGCTTAGTCGGCTTTCCTCGCCCCTAGGGCAGGTTGATTTAAGTCGTCGAACAAAATCAGAAAGTTGATCTGATCGATGATTTAAAATTATTCAATAGATTATCTTGATTATCTATTTGAAAATTATGCTTTAATATGTATAGAAAATAAGACACAAATTAAAAAATTACTACTTTGAGTGAACGATTTGGGTGTTCAAATTTATTCTCAGTTAAAAATTCATTCTGTGAAGCTTTGGTTCGGTTAAATCCAATAAACGTAAAAAAAAACACAAAGGGATTAAGTTTTTGCCTCAAATCCTGATTTTCTAATCCTTATATTTTTGCAACCCGATGTCGTGTACCTTTGATATTTCAAACTTTGAATTCCGTTTTTGAAATATCAAAGATTTACACTATCACGTTGCTAGGGATTAGAACATTTCAGTTTTTGGCAAAAACTCATTTCCTTACAAATTTTTGTGATGTGCCAGCTAAAGTGGAGGGCGTCTTACAAAAAGTTACAATTATTTGGTTCAAGATTTATTTGAATTTAAAATACGAGAAAATTTCCCTTCAAATTACTGTACTGTAAAGGACTGTAAAGAACATTTCAAGTGACCCTAAGATGCAAAGATGACAATGGCCGATTCACAACGGTACCAGCTTGAAACCTATATCTAATAAATAATGTGGAAGCTAATGGCGTTTTGCTAAATTGAAAAGTGTTGAATTCTGATAGTTCCAATATATTTTCCTGCAGTAAAAATGCGTCAGTAAATTTTGAAAAAATCAGTATTCAAAATTAGGAAAATGGATTTTCATACTTGATGAGAAAACACCTTTAAGTTTTGAGGGTACATTGCGAATTGGACATTTTTTCACGGCGGATCATTTGAAATTACTCTTACGGTCCCTTTAAATGCATCTCTTATATGTATGAATATATGCATATCTGAGCTGCTGAGTGTTCCAAAAACACTCACTGAGACATTTTTCTGTAAATTATTACAACTTCTCTTTAAAGTATAATTATATGATTATATAATGTTTTAAACTATTGGGGGGGGGGGGGAATTATGCGCGCTTCGTATGCAATATTTTAATTATTCCCCCCCCCCCCCTCCGGAAAACGTTGTAAGCCACACCTGAATAGTCTCAATCTGATCAAACAATACTTAAAACAGTTAATTATTTTCCCGTAATTTTTGTTAATATTGTTAAGTCATGCGCCCCCGGACATGTTTCCCCACATTTTCACAAAACGGGACATTTTATAGACGGCCAATTTCTGATATTAAAACGGCAATTTAAGAATATATAGATATTTTACTTATTTTTATGTGGACACCCTGTATCCGATATCCATGCTAGATATTGTTGAAATTATGCATTTACAGATTATCTAGCTGACAGATAAACTGGGCATGAAATTGGACCAGATGCAGTTTTTGGAAAGACAAAATTTAAGTTAACTCTAAATAATTAACAAATATATAATTTAAGTGAAACTATTTTCAGGATTGATCGTTTCACAACAAAAAAAAAAAAAATTTTTTGTTGTGAAATTTGAAATTAACGTTGTTCTTAACCAAATTTTGTAGAACGCTTCGCGTCAACAGTTTTAATTAGGCAGAGCCTGAAATTTAAAAGAGTATCGTTGGACAAAGCTCCCGAGTTTCCTTTTTTGGGTCTTAACATTTGTGTAGATTTTGATTTAAGAGATTTGAAAAAAATGAAAATATAAACAAACTGAATGAAATAATATTTCATAAAAAATATGGATATTCACAAAACAGCCTAACCCCATTCGTGAAACCCGGGTTTTAAAACTGTTTTTTTATAACGATACCCTGTCTTAAGTTTTGGGTTCAGGGTAGCAGGAATTTATCCAAATAAGATCTCACTTGGATTTAACGGTTCTGTCAATATTCCAGAAAGCTATGACTTTCGATCACAACATAATTATTCAGACTTCTTTCTTAAATACTTTTTTGCCGGCATATACGTTTGAATAAAAAAGTATTAAACAAACAAATCCATAAGTTTAAAGATTGTTAAAATATAAACCAAAACGCGTATGATTTCAAATTGAAGAAACCGAATGCCTCTAACTCTGGTTAGTCCGGGGTGATCTGTACGCTGCGTATATTTGTATTAGACGTCGTTTAAATCCAAAAGTTAATATTTTTTCAAATTAAATGAAAAAACCTCCAATCCCCCCAGGGCCCACCGGTGGGGTATTTAAGGGGGTCATGAGGGGGGGGGGTCACTGGTTTTTGCCACAATACTCCTCTTGTGTTTCATGATGAGATTTGACAAAATGAATATATTCTGATAATCTTTTTATTTAAAAACATTGTATCAATTGTAGCTGGCATTTATTAATAATGATTTAAATTTATAATTACTTTTCCCATTCCTATTTTTATCCTTGAATGGATCCTGTAAACCCGCAATATATTTAGACATCGTCTTTGTTACAGCGAGCTTTTTCAGAAAAACATATATTTTATAGCAAAAGTACAAGAAAGCACTGCGGTTTCGGGATAATTTAAATGTATAAATAGATTCTAACAGCCATATGGAAAAGAATTAGGGGCGCCAGCAACTCGCCAAAACCTTGATTTAGTCAGAGTAGCGTGTTTAATCCTATTTTAAGAGTTTTCAATGAAGTTTTTCGGTTGAAAATCTTAACTAAAACATAACATTTAAACAACTTTAGAGACTTCTCTCAATAAAATTCTTAAGTGGCCAAGCCTTATTTGACATGATAAGAGGTTTATGAAATAAACTCATTTTGGCTTTGTGTTAGATACTGATAATCCCGATTGCTTGATTTCGATATCCACTTGATGATTTATACAGAACAATACATTTCC